CCAGGGTGGTACTGGGAAGGGAAGAAGGTTTGTGACGGGTGCATCTGTGCGATAGCTGATGAATACCGGTCGATCAAAGCAACATATTAAGGCAGAAGCTGACGACCAAAGGCCAGGAATGGCCTGTTCTCCACCAAAGCTGGTTTGACGGCAATAAAGACAAGTACGGCCTATTCCCTGGGTGGTTCACCATCATAACAACCACAGCAAGGGTTACACCTTTTGCTGATTATCACATAAAATAAGCAGCTATGAGGTAGGTCAAGGCGAACTGCACTGCTATGAAGCGTTCTCATCACACAGCTTGGTCGTGCCTCTCATCCTTTCTAGTGTGGTCACGCCGGAACATATGCTGCCCCTGTTGTTCCCAAGTCAGCGACTTGCTGCCCGCTTCTGAGCTGGTTGCACCGAACCAGAGTGGGGTAAATTTCTTGCTCAAAGGAATTCGCGGTTAAGACAAATGTTGTCCTTTCAGCTGATTCGAAATCAGCATCTCTGGTTCGCAGCCGACTTCTTTGGGGCTGCACCGTGGCACTTCAAGCTGCAAATCTTGCTTTTGATTTATTCGTGGTCACCGTTTTAAAGCAGTAAATGAAAATTGCGTATAAGTTGGATAAAATATTTAGAACGTTTAATTTAATCTGGTTCTTCTCTGCCTGAAAACTTCAGAAAAAGAACTGTTGTTCACAACATGGCCCGATGTGCATGTTTAGAACTTTCCGCATCTATGTTTAGCCCTCACGTCTGTTCTACAGTTTCAGCGCGATTTTGATGACGGAGTAACGAAACGTTTTGTAGCTTTAACTATTCTTCACTGTTAATAATTGCCTTATTTATTAAATAGTTAACGTTTCGGATCATCCGTCCTCAGAGCCACATTATTTGTTCACACAAATGTCAGTAAAATGCAGTGCACAGAAACTCTCACTGCAAAATGATGTCCTGGTGCTTTTTAGTTGCGACGTTACCAGCAGCAGCAGAGTTCGGTCGCCGAATGCGTACACAACTGTAGAATACCAGAGAAAGCGCATCGCCAGTGCCGTAAGTCTTGTTCTGTGTCCCCTGATTCTTCTTCGTCGTCCACCTTTCGCCACAGTCGTCACAGGACGTCTTCCTTGTGCAGTTTTCCGGCTACTACCGGCTTTCGCCACGACGAGTTGCGTAGCCCCTTCACATACGTCCGTTCCAGAAGTCAGCATGGACCAGGTCCACCTCCAGCGGCAGCCGCACCGGTTGCGGCCAGTGTCATCGAGATGGCAATGGAGGAGACGGTGATGACCAATGGTCAAGCATTCGTCGCGAGTAATGTCTCCGCCGAACATTGTGCATTGGCCGGCGCAGACAGCAACCTTCCAGTCAGCGTGAATGGTGCTTCCTCGCCTACTGCCGAAGACGCCCGTTTACGTACCGATGCACAAGCAGATACGGTATTCAGCAGTTTCGCTGTTTTGTAATATTTACTGTTATTCGAAGATAAAGCTTTTCATTCGTACTTTGATGATCGTACTTAAGAAATAGCATAAAGCACGGTTTACTTTTACACATCGCGAAGGATACTATGATCGGTTCGGTGACTGTCCAATGCCGATGTTTCGGCCAAAAAGCCTTCTGGCC